AGTCTGGTGATAGACGGACAGACAGATAGCGGAGTCTTAGTAATAGGGTCCCGTTTTACCCTTTGGGTACGAAACCCTAAAAAGATTATGATTATGATATATCATCATCATCATTTTAACCCGTTAAAATTCACGGCTGAACATAGTCCTCCCTCACAGACTGCCACTAAACGCGACCCTTAACGACCTGCATCCATCGACTTCCCGCACATTTGCACAGGTTGTCGCTCCATCAAGTGGGTGGGTCATTTGAGGATACAAAATATGTTAAAGCGGAATAAATTGTGTCTGAGTGAACAGTTTTCCTTATCGTATAAGGTTTTGTTTATCATAGCCCGTATCTATTCTCGTACCGTGCTATCGTTAACATCCTGAATACATAGCTATACTAGGTTTTAGGACGAAACGTATAGCCTTGAAAAATTGCTCTAATGTAGCTAGATATTTGAAGCCTCTTCACAACATATTGAACAAACTAAATTTTGCTATGAGGATGCTATAGATAAAGGATAAACACAAAAATACTAATAATTTCGTAATAGTTAATGGTTCTATTTTGTAGTATAATGCGAGCTGAAAAAGATACCGGTTATTTATTGGGAATATTTGCGTAGGTCATTAAAAGTATAAAATTTTGTTAAGAATCTATCCTGTGAGTCTTCCACGATGAAAAACTCGTTATCATAAATGTTATACCGTATAGGTTCATTTTATATAGTCAATGGTGTAATTAATGCCACCTCAGCATCCTGGATATAATCAACTCTCCACATTACCTCTACCACATTATGAATTTAAAAATACATATTATTCACCTTTTGGTATATTACGCATTTCAACCTTGAGTAATTTTCGATTTCAAAAGAGATAACTGTAGATCCTTTTTAGCATTGATAAGTCTGTTATGGATATAATCGAAGGTCGAGAAACATATTACGCATCTTACAATACCGTATAATTCAATAAAAATTTACAATGTGTAATTTGTGTTAACTGTTTCTGACAACCATTCTAGCCTACGCTCAGTCCACAAGGATTCAAACTTATTTTACAGTTATCATTTGACTTTAAACAGCATTTGAAAAAAAGTTAAATTATTAACGAGATTTAACAGATTAATTGTTATTCACAGATATTTTAAGTACGCATTTCTGTCTCGTTAAGTTCAATAATTTTTGTCTATATATATAGTCTTATAACGTTTCCCTTTAAAGCAACTTGACACTTGCGAAGCTTCGTATATTTATTACGTCAAAAACTTCCTTGGAGCTTATATTTTATAGGACAGAAAAGTCATGGTCATGACCAGTATGTCAATGAATAAATAAAATAAATTGAATATTGAAGTACCTAGCTTGGAAAATAATGTATCCACAAATGTATCTCAGCGTTCAGGGATCATTTTGTAGCTGGCACATTACAGCTATGTAATGATTCAAACCATGACTGCCCGAAGGCTTTTAGCCTTTATAACTTTAACGTTTTGGGAAGGAAATCAAATTATGTATACTTTAGTGCTATGAGTTGAACCAAAATTGCTAATCTATGTCAGCGAACCTTATTTGTTTCTTTATATTCTTTTTATTGTTTGTCTTTTAATAAAATATTTTTACTTTTATTCATTTATTGTGACATATACTAAATAAAACTTGTAATTCCGTGACAATTTTAACGTCCTTAATTTAATGCTGTTTATTACTATCAATTAAAAAAATAAAACAATGTTCTGATTCTCGACCAAAATATAAAATTTGGTGTGGCCCATGCATAAAGTTAACTGCCGGTACCCCCTATGACGTTTAACGTGTTAAACAAAGAATAACTTCGTTAAAGTAGTGTTGAGGTAGGCTGTGTTGTTCCTCCCCTCCGACCGGGTTCCCGCCTTGACGTGGCGGAGGGGCTTAGTAGCCGAGGCTTGGTCACCCACGACGAAGCTAAGAAGTCGCGGGGGAAGAGGAGTGTCGGTATTGCGTAGGCCGTGTTCTCGAACCTCCACGCCTCGGCGGGGCTGCACCGTTGATGCAGTGGTGGTGGGGCTGCGGGGGGAGAGGAGTGTCGGTATTACGATGCGCCGTTCTCCCTACCCTCCGCGGCCGAAACATGGTGAGCGGTGGAGCCACAGACCAGGTCCGCCGATGGGGTTCGCGGAAGATTGCGTTTTCGTGTTCCCGTGTTCCTGGCAAAGCGACAGCGCAGGTGCAACGTCGGTTTTTTAGTGGGTACCTCGTAACTCCCACATAAGCCTGCTGCCTACCCACAAGGCGGCGGGAGATCCATAAAGGATTTTTCCCACGTAAAAAAAAAGGATGTATTGTTCCGGGTTTTGATGATTTTTACGCTTGATAACATTTTAAATGATAGATAACTATTTGGTGTTAATGTTCGCTTTTGCTTGTGTATTTATATTAGTCCATGAAGAATTCTTCTATAAGACCGTTAAATTTCATATCACCTGAAATACCTACGTAAATTTAAATAATAAACCCTAAGTAAATAAGAAGTTATAAATAAATAATCGAAGATTCAAATTCCATAGTCTTTACTAAATCTTGTTTCTCTGTGATATGTTTAAGTAAATCACAGGAAATTGCACTGATCAAAGCCGTCCCGGATATCTACGACTTAATCTCCATAACAATTAAAGGTCACGCTATTTTAGAAACCATGGTTAGCAGTTCAAGGTGATAAATTTAGATAAACTTTAAACGTAATTTACAAAAATATATATACAATTTTTGAAAATTCAAAAACTGTTACTTTTTATTGTTAGAGTTTGGCTTGCACTTAATCGGTTTTTTTTTTTTTAATTTAATGGTTCAATATTTTCTTTCCAATTCAATATTAATTTTCACATTCCTCTATGCGAGCAATGTTATTATTTAAAAGGTGTCCAAAGTTCACAAGATAGAGAATTTTTTTTTCTTTTAATATTTACCATACCTAAGTACTTTTACTACATTTAAATTAACTATGATAAAGCTTTAAAGTAGAGCTTAAGACATGCGTGTATTATTTTTGTATTATATTAACAAAGTCTCAAGTAATTATATTGTGCTCTTTAAGTAATGTCCATTGGCGATATTTTGACATCAATTCTGCAATGCAAGGAGGACTACAAAATTAACCGTAGATCATCTATCATGAGCCATCCATGGTTCTAGAGTGGTCGGCTGACACATAAATAAGCAAAATTTAAAGTTCAAATTGATACAACTATGTCTACTTTGTACAGTTTATATACAAAAATGGCGATTTATTGTATTTAAGCGATTACTCAACGTGTTTATCTTAAATTAAAGTACTATTTTACGGATTTTATCGTGATCTAACTTTTTTTTAAATTTCGGACTTGGTGAACATTACAGCGTTCATTCGCACGGAATAGACCCGGGCTGAAAAATTGAAAGTACGGTTAATTTGAGATTAAGACCTAAAAAATTCTCTTCTTTCTTTTCCTGTGACTATGTTTTCGAAGCGACGGTATTTAAAAAAAAAAACTAAAAACACGATACATAATGGATGGAATAAATATGTTTTTGTCTCCATTATTAAAAAAATGGATATAATAAATATCGGGTCGACCTTAATTCGCATTTTTTGTATGTTTTCATAAGTTTCATAAGTTCATATATACTATTATAGAGGTGAAAGTTTGTATGTATGGATGGATGGATATTTTTTACTCTTTCACGATCACGTTCAATAATATAGCTTTTGAACCAGAATAAGACATAGCCTATAATTTATATACATATTTTATGTATATGTCTTTCTGTCAGAATCTTACTCCATTAGCCTACTGCAGTATTAATTGTAAACTCTACGCAGACGTAGTCGCGGAAAGCAGCTAGTATCCCATATTTCCCTTAAGAATGAGAATAAGAAAACAGATTGATTTCGCCCGTTAAGTTACCCTAGATAATTATAGTCAAACTATGTAATATATATGTATACAAGTGATATGACAATATGAAATACTCTGCTTCTGGTTAGAAATGTGACGAATAATCGAACAAAATAATTTAATTTTCATTCTTTAGTACTTTCAAAATGGATTAGCTTACAATGAAATGTTTTATTATTTGTCACAGAGACTTTAATAGTCCAAATGTGATAAACAGTTTAGACATCTTGCTCCACAAAATATAGCAATATCTTTGAATATAACTTTTTTTTTATGTGAAAAGTTGTCAAGCGAGCAGACGGTTCACCTGATGTTAAGCGAATACCGCTGCCCATGGACATCTGCTACACTCGAGGGTTGCAGATGCGTTGACAACCTTTTGAAAATTGGTCTCCGGCCACCTCACTCACCAGACGAAACGCGAAAGTATTATACTTCCACCTTACGCCGGTCTTCTGTGAGGTCGTGGTACTTACCCGGACGAGCCAGCCCATTCGTGCAACAGCCGAATGTATTTAAAGTCCATTTAAAATTGCAATTCATACAAATAAATGTTATGTTATAAACTAACCAGACTTAATTTTCACAAGTAAGCGGAAGGGAAGCGTCAACCGTTATTAAAAAATTGGTGATATATTTGGACAAAAGAGGTATATATAAAACAAATGCCTATTATAAGTAATACTAAGAGATATAATTCGGGGGTGCTGCTTGACTCTTTAATAAAGCGAAAATTAAACGAAACGCAATATCATAACAGGGCGGGTATAATTAGCCGGAGAGTAATTAACATTTTACGTACGATTTCAAACACAAAACAGTGATGTAAATATGATTAGATGCGTTTCTAATTTCTTGAGAAGTAGAGTACACATTGGCATGGCAGATGCATGGTCAGGCAGGCGGGCGGTGTTACTTTGAAGTTCATTGCTTTGAGCCTCTGCTTGTCGTACTCTAATTTTACGTGCTGCGCCTGCGCAACCTAGTATAAAAGCCGCGCCGTTCGATCTGAAAAATCATTCCCGCCACAAACACCAAACGAGGATCATCCATTAATATTTCATACCTTGTATTTTACTAAACTAAAATCACAAATATGAAGTCGGTGAGTTAAGAAGTTTCATAGTTAAACGATTTGTTTATTTCTGCAAAAATTATTTGTTGTATTCAATATTTAAGAAGTTTACATATTTTTACCTTTAATTTTTTCCAACACGTATAAATTATTAAATTCACATTTAATTCTCAGTTATTGCATGTCGATTTGTAGATAGGTACGAAATTTTGTAAATTTTACCACGATCTTATTATACTGAAAACAATGCTTGTATATTGTAATATGGCATTTGTATAATTGCTTCCATATCCACGGTAATGTATCTTGTAACGCATTCCCACACATTTTTATCCGTCAGCATCATCTTAATTGCACGTAACACGCCGTGTTACCATTTTTAGTCAAAACGAAAGATGAAGAGAATGACTTACCAAGAATAAATCAGGGTAGGTAATACTTTTTGCAGTTATTAAAGTTATCCATTAGTGATGAATTTTAATACTAAGCACACTATACGCGCTGGTGGAAAGTTAGACGTTTTCAAACGTAAATCGACCATTTCTTAGATTGTTCGGCAAGCGAGATCTACGAATTTACATCATTCATTTTTATGTTCATTTTACTTGACCTGTAACACTTTGTAAAAAACATGGAATCAAATATGTACAAATGTAACATTTAGGAGTAATCAATAAAGACTTAGGGAGAATAGACTCATCGTTATATAGGATTTACGTAATGTCGAATATTTTATTAAACTGTAAATAGAGGAAAGCAATAGCTGGGTGATTAACATTTAAATTTGGTTTCCAGTTTGTCGCTTTATTTGCACTCGTGGCTTACGCCAGTGCTGCTCCCCAGTTCCAACTGCAGCAGCAACAGTACCAAGGCCAGCAAATCCCGATCCTCAGGCAGACGCAGGAAGTCAATTTTGATGGTTCCTACCAATTCAGGTATGAATTACCATTTTGTGCTGAATTCGAAAAAAGTTCACTAATGAAAAAAATCGATAGAACACACGTGGTAAAAATAGGCCAAAAAGATTTTATGTAATATAAACATAAAATAAACATTATTTAATTTTTCCTTATTAATCACTATATTGGCTGGAAATGTTTTTTGTGTACATGTACACAATTTAACTAACACACATCTTCACTAATTTATTAATTTTACTATATTGATTATCTTTAAAAATGTACGGATTTCTTTGAATAGGAAAATAAATTTTAGGAAATATAGAATGCACTCTTAGGAAATTTTAAAAGACTACGATTACGCAGCTGATAAAACGGCATTGGCCTTTTAATCTCTGTCGCTGTTTAATGGGTTTACAAAATCTTATTTAGTAATTAATCGCCTCATAGGTGCCGTATTTTGTGAAAACAGTAATAAAATAGTAATACTAATAAAACAGAGTTGTAAACGATCGGTGCAGGAATCAACAAAATAAAACGATGAACGTGTAGGAGTCATCCAAACAAGTGTCAGCTACCAAGCCCTGTTTACGCAATAAATTGGCTCATACGCTATATAACACCGCAGATATTTCCTTATTCATTATGTGAATCACAAATATGCTTTCGTAATAGTTTCAGTTTGTGAGAAAAAATGTGAATATATTTAAACTTAAATTTAATATTTTTGTTCAAAAAATGTTACGAATTAATGAATTGGAGACAGAAATGTAGTTTAAATTATATAGGTATATTTTTATTTAAAAGTTCATTTAAACATTTCTAAACCAAACCTTATATAATTAATACACGTGTGGCGTGTAAAATAATAATATTGTTACCGAATTGATAGAGTAGCTTCCACAAACATTAAAAAGTCGCAAGGCTGATCGAAAATTGAACAAGCTACTAAAAATAGCAATACTTGAATGGAAACAATCGATTCTCAGAAACGAAGTATTGACAATGCACGTAGATCCCACGAAATCGACGTAGTAAAACATTTTGACAAAAGCACTTATTACATTTTATAGATTGGACGTGTATTTGCCTGAGGTGGCGCACTTCAGGCAATTTGTCTTGATTATTTCAAAGTTGCATGTGATTTATGCTTGCAACGGTCTGAATTGCATTTCGTATGGAATTTTGGCTGGATTGTCGACTGGTTTGTAATATTATCACTTAAAACTGACTTGGTGGCGTTGTTGCTAGGACCCCCTGACGTCTCCCAACCCCCAACGCCAAAGACAGTAGGGCTTTGCTGTCAGGGGCAGTAGATTCGATTCCCACGTGGGACAATTATTTGTATGATCCATAGATAATGGTTCTGGATCTTGGTGTTTGTTTTTCGATAAGGGTTGACGTCAGGCAGGCGACCGGTAGTAAAAACACAGCCAAAACCGCTTACAAAACAATTCACATGTTCGGCCTAGGTTGGGAGGTTGGGATAAGAAGAGAAGGATGATGATAATGGACTAAGTATGTCAAATTAGTTGTAATTACTAAACTCTTAATCCTAAATGTGACAATTTTTTTCGATGACGCTTATATCTTTGCTTAATTTTAGCTACGAGACCGGAAATGGTATTGCTGCCCAAGAACAAGGTTACCTCAAAAACGCTGGGGTAAAGGACGCTGAGGCCCAAGTTGCCCAGGGATCTTACAGCTACACATCGCCCGAAGGCGTGCCTATTACTGTAACATACATCGCTGATGAGAACGGTAAGCTTTTAAAATCCTAGATGGCCAACGGCAACGTAAGAATTTTCTAATTTCCTAATTAACGGTTTACGATGAAGGAAAAGATCGTGAGGAAACCATCATATTTTATATTTTCGAAACAAATTAAAATAATAAGATATGTGAAGTCCGCCAATCCGCAGTGGGAATCTCTTGGTGCACTATGCCCTAATACACTTTCTACAGAGGGTATTAGGACCCAGCAGTGGGACATGTATAGGCTGTTACTTTACTTCCTTATTTTTTTTTACTTTAATGTACCAACGGTCAACAACCTGATTGCACATTAAATGTTAATCAAGTCATGTTTTCTGACTGTCCTCCCAAGTTAATTTTTATTTTTTATTAATTTAATTTAACAGCATTTACAATATTTATTAAATTTGTTAAGATGCAATCTTTACCCCTGTATTGTTTATAGTAGAGAAAATCAAGGAGTGATAAAATGCTGCCAAGACGATTTTTGAACATAATATTACAGATTTAACTAACGTTACATATTGATTATGAAATCACCTAATAAATCAATTATAATGTCAGATCTGGATTATTAGGCAAGAAGTTTTTGATTCAAAGATTGATCTCACGTGGAGAGATCTATTGACCAATCAGCTAAGTAGCGTAGTCGAATTTCTTCTTAAGGGTATTTAAAATCTCCATATGTTATGCTTTTGTCATTGCTGATGAAGGCATTCTGCATACAAATACAAGGAATGCAATTGAAATGCTAACTCGTGAACTGAATACAAATGGCATAAAATGACCTACTTGAATTTTAACAATGCGATATTGTTAAGATCTAGTTTATGGCTCTACTTCTTTACATATGATTATGCCAGTAGATACAAGGAAGACGTGATAATCTCATGAGTTAGGTTTCATGTTTCCTTTATCAAATATAAAAACAATTCCTACCAATAATTTTTTCATGTATACGTTTTTATAATAACAAACTACCATTTTCTCTCTACCTCCCCAGTCACCGTAATAATATTTTATGAATCCTTTCTACAGGTTTCCGTGCAGAAGGTGCCCATCTGCCCACACCTCCCCCGATCCCAGAAGCGATCGCCCGTGCCCTCCAATACATCCAGTCTCAGCCTCAGCAGCCGCAACAACCCTTCCAACAGCAACCTTTCCGCGGTTAGATCTCAACAAAGCACTCCATCTACCGACCCGCCTCCCAGTAGATTAGCGTCTCCCAGAAGTTTGCACGATTAAGTATAGCGATTTGTTACTGTGATGTATTTTATATTATTAGGAATATACGTGATTAATGATTTTATATATTTCCGTTGTTTTATTTTATTGCCGTAAGTAAATATGAGTTTCATTATTAGGCTATATACTAGAACATACAGAAATAAAAAATAAATTCACGACGCTAAATGAAATGAATAAATTAATAGTAGCCAGGGATTAACATTATGAGGTAAAACAACTGCCCCGTGTCAGCATACAATCTGTCCCATGACCTTGAACGCTGTAAAGTGTCCGAAACGTAGGAAATTTAAAACTAAAATAAAACGCAATAAATTCCGCGAAATATTTTAATTTAATCATAAGACTGTCTGGTTTTTGAGTTCTGGCGTTATTGATATTTCTGTTTTCAGTTTGAAGACTATATTAAGTATCATCGGGCATAGAGCTCGTTGAAAAGCTAAGTTTCCACGAACTCGATGAAGCCTACCTTAGCAGAGTCACGCATGTGGACATGCATGCATGAATAAAATGAGGGAATTGCCGGCTATAGTTCGTTGGCATACGGCATGCGCTCCGTAATATCGACCGTCGACTCGTCTTATTCTTCAGCTGAGAGCCTAGAGAACTACTACCTCGGTCTCCGGGTGTATGTTCATTGTGTACGCGATGTGTTAGTTTCATTTCACCGTGCTCGTAAGCAAAGGTAAACTACAGTATGTTGTAATAAACGTTAGGTGTGAGTGTAGTTTTATCATGTGGGACCTCTGTAGAGTTAGAAATGATCTAGTCCGGATCGGAAAGATAAGTATATTATATGAAGTTCTAAATGTGTTTGAAAAAACCTGCGATAAAGATAGTAAGTAAGGCTTACGTAAGACGTCGGTCTTACGTAAGCCTCGTAGAAAGAGCTCATACCTTAAGGGCATTTTGCTCGGAGAGTTTGTGCTATACAGTCAGCCACAAATGAACGCAGCTTTAATATTTACTTTTTTTATATGCGTAAGCAACATCTACATATTTGATATTCCTTTCCCAAATAATCTGTTAGTCAAAAAGGGTTATTTGCCCTTACTTTCTGTTTTGGCTAGCTCGGGTGTAAACGGTTGATGGATTTGGTGTTTACAATAATCTCGCCTGTTTAAAAATATATTGTAGAACGATTTTCAGGGTTCACCTCTATTCTCCATTTACGAAATACCTACCGAGATGACCAGCAGCGTTTTGGGGGTGGGTGGTAACGCAGAATCGAAGGCGGCTCGAGTCAAATAGGACATTATCATCTGCTAAGAATGCGAAATGAGTCCTTTGGCATGGCGTTCGTGTAAAGTTAGTAAAGAAGACGCGAGAGACTTGAACGTTGAGAAAAAATCATTTGTTTTACTAAAATAATTTATATATGATTTTATTTTAAAGCAAAATTCGAATGGGGGTAAGTTATTAACTTCCCACATGGACAACTGCAACATCAGTGTGCTATCAGGCGTAAATAGATACAATCTAACACTAACAAAGCTTCAGTACTTTTACAACATACTCGACCGATACATTTTCACTGAGCAAATTAATGAGTAATTATCATGAATATTACGTGTTCCATCCATAGTTATATGGATGGAACATGTTAATTTCATGCATATCGACGAGCCCGTGCGGATGTACGGATCATCACTACAGGGTGAGGTAGTCAATATATTTTGGCTCATATCACACTTCAATCTGAACAGCTAGGATAGCTTGCCCGCCAATCTAATATTATGGTAGTGATTGTAATTAAAAAGTACAACTATTGAAATAATAACGAAACAGAAGAAAAAGCTTAGTCATAGTAAGAGTAAAGCCTACTTTCTGTGGACCAGTTTACAAACTTTTTTAATGAGGTACTGCCTAGTGGCTCTTCAACCGTTTCACTCTTTCCTTGAAGATAACCCATTACATAAGGACGGAATGACAGATGCTGGTAATTTTTCTACATCTTTTCACAGTGCACTGAAAGCAAAACAAATTACTTGGTTAGGGTCTATGGACATGGGTGAGAGTATTAATTTGTAGAATTAAATGTACCGTCTCTGAAATGCTCTAATATCTAATTGTAGAGCCATTACTCCAAGAACCAGTAGAGTTCAAATTCATGAGCTTTACTGGCCTTAAGAATACTTCGTTAGTACCACTCTCCTTTCATCAGCGTACCCGTAGATGATATACACATTGTTTTTGTATTTTTATTTTGTATAGAAGAGTTTAGTTTGGCGTACGAACTCAGAACGATTACTGCGACCTAGAAAGATCTATTGTAGTTTTCCCTTCGAAACCATTACATGCTTACTGTAAGACAACATTGTCCAGTGCTGTATGGACGTTTTACGTACTTAGATTTTACGTGGACCAACACCCAGATCCGGAACATCTATCTGTGGCTCACCCAAATAGTTGTCTCGAGGAAATCGAACCCAATAGCTTGGCAACTGCGCCACGGAGTCGTCACATTGGTACGCATGTTTACATTCATGATATGAAGCACAAAGGGACTTGCATGGAGAATTTTGGCGTTGGTAGTAAGTATTTAGTTGGCTCAGATGAAGAGCCATCTATGACGATTCACAGACAGATCACTTAGAGTGTCATTATCCTCAGGTGCGCTGAAACATTTAGAGCACCTTCCTACTTCGCCCCTTTTTCACGGCCATCGTACTCCCCTGAGCTCACTGATTAGAGGCCATGGGAGCCAGAAGAGCCAGTGCCAATAAGCGGCAAGCCTCTCTGCTCCCAGCGGCGGACCTGGTGTTTGGCTCCGCTACTCACCACGTTTCAGCTGCAGAGAGTAGGAACAATCCTTTCCCCCGCGGCCTCACCACCACTGCATCGACGTTGCAGCCTCGCCGAGTCGGGGAAGATAGGTAGCGCGGCCAATGCAATACCGATACACCTCTTTCCCCACGACTCCTCCTTGGTAGCAGAAGACAGGGACAGTGGCTCCACCTCTACCACCCTCTACCTGTCCCCTCCTAATACTACGCGAATTTATTGCAGATTGACGGAATAGATATGATATCTTCCAAATATTTTTTATTATTTTAAAACTTTGCATTTATTTACTCACGATGTCTTTTTTCATCGCTAAGAATATTATAAGTGAGAGCTTAAAATAACAATTAATTATTTAATTGGTGCTTTCAACGGGATTTAATATCCGGTTACTGTAACAGTGAATTTAAATGGTGCTTCATCTGCTCAGCATATTATATCAAATGTTTTTTTTTATAATGTGAAAAGGTGGCAAGTGACCCGGCGGTTCACCTGATGTTAAGTGGTAAACACCACCAATGGACATTTGCAACACCCTTAGGATTAGAGATGCGTTCCCACATTATAATAATGTGGGCTCCGGTTTCCTCAATCACCAGACGAAACGTAGAAGTATACTACTTTCACTTTACGCCGGTCTTCTGTGAGGTCGTGGTACTTCCCCGGACGAACCTGCCCATTCGTGTAACAGCAAAGACTGATGCGTTGGTTTACCACTATTTGTTATAGTAGTAGAAAAGTGTTAAAAACTAAATTAATGGGCAGTGCCACATCTCTTTTACTATATGAGTCAACCTAGCAAGGGCTTTATTTTATTTCTTCACATAAATTGTAAGTCAAAACATAGTATATAACTTCAAAATACAGTTTTTAATTCTTTTGTACAATAATATTTTTTCAGAATAACATTAACATTTTGGCCACACAGCAGCCTTGGCTGTTGCATGAATGGGCAGGCTCGTCCGGGTGAGTACCACGACCTTACAGAAGACTAGCGTGAAGTGGAAGTATAATACTTTCGCATTTCGGCTGGTGAGTGAGGTAGCCGGAGCCCAATTTTCAAACATCTGCAATCCTCGGGTTTAGCAGATGTCCATGGTTGGCGGCATTCACTTAACATCAGGTGAACCGCCTGCTCGCTTGGCAACTTCAAAAAAAAACTGAACTTAAAGTTTTTGGGTTTAGGAAATTTAACATGCAAAAACAAGATAAGCGCCATCTGTACGCTGAAGCAAAAACGAAGAACATGGTTTTGTTTTATATAAGAAACCAAGGGAATGGATAGTTTCATACAGACAAGACTATATCAGATACTTACATAACATGTTCACTCCAAGATGCATACAGATGGCGCTAATATAATTTTAAATGAATGTTATTTTCGTTTGTCGTCTTTAAGTGATTGTCCAAATTTACATAACTTTACCAAGCTTAGCAGTTTTTTAGTAATCAATGTATTGTGTTATACATTTACTTCTGGAAAATGCAATATTTTAAATTAAAATTTAAATGTCTGAGAAATTGTTTTTAAGGCCTTGAATTATAATTTTTTGAATCATTCAAGTTTTGGCTTCTAAATAATGTAAACAAATGTTATCTTTTCTGAGAATACGACCAAAAATCATGTCTGTACTGCTAATTATTATTTTTGCACTTGTTTGCTATTCTTATTATGACACGAAAATTGTCTAAAAATGGACGCCCTATGGAAGAAGTGGCCCAAGCGGTTACGCTGTGGGAAAATGCCCAAGTCCGTTAAAAGTGGCTCGTGTGTTAAACATAAGCCAATCTGTATCCAGTGTTTTCCGGCAGTACCAGTAGACCGGATATTTTAACAAAAAATTTGGATCAAAGTAGAGTGAGCCTCAATGGCAATGATAGACAACGAGACTACAGAAAACCTGAAGACAAATTCACCAAGTGCTGCAATAAATATGTGAAAATAATGTGTCTGGAGGATGTTATCGGATAGTGGGGGCCAGCTACGAGAGACAGCGTCAAGAAAAAGTGAAAAATCTTATCCGCTCTATTAAGAACCGATTACAAGCTATAATAACATTCACGGGGATTACACAAAATATTTCAATTTTTATTATATACTAGCTGCTGCCCACGACTACGTCTGCGTAGAATAGGCTGA